TTGATTTTTTGTGCAATTTAATCCCTAAATTTCTGATCTATTCAGCTTGGTCCTAAAAATATCATATCTTTCAATTAAGTCCTTTATTGCAAAAACCAACAAAAATAAATTAGAATCTTATGAAACTCATCAATAATAGCAATAGAAAATTTTTTTTACATTAATATGTATGAAATTTCAACTCATTAGCTACCACTTTTCAAAAGTTTTCAATTAAAGATATGACCTTTGTAATTTTACTAATCAAGACTATCACATTTCAGATGTTTGTAATCAAGAATATGATCTTATACATTTACTTAATCATTTTTTAGAAAAATTGTAAATATCGCATCCTTAATTTCAAATTTTTAAAAGATAGTAAATATTACTAAAAAAAGATTATATACTTAATTAAAAAAGTTTTTAAAGATTATTTCTTTGTTTACACCAAAACTCTTGCAGAAGTCATCAGGATTTGACATTTTAATGTTTAAATTAATGATGTAGTTTGTCTAATATATACTTTACAAATTAAAAGCATAATAAATATATATTTTTATCATTAATATATATAAAAAATATAAAAATTAATTTTTATTTTAATATTATTATCACGTAAATAATTTTAATTAAATTAGTTAATTAAATAAAAATAAAAATTTATATTTTTTTTTATAAAAATCAATTATAAAAGATATAATTATAATACTCTTAATCTGTGTCTTAGAAATATAATTAGATAAGTCATTAACAATATTCTTTTTCTTTTTGTGCAAATCATTTGCAATATTCTGATGTGTATACTTTTGAAGACAAAAACTTAAAAGAATGATTAAGTTAAGGGACCGAGATAGATCACCTAGTTGGGTGTTTTTTGTCCTTTTTTAAATAGGCAATGATAGATGGGTGATCGATAACAAGAAGTCTTCATTGCCTTTTTTTGTTGAAAAAAAAAAAGATGATAACAGAAAGTCTGAACTCTATAGAATGGCCGAGCGCTGACATTCAGACCTCGATGAATGATGGTTAGGCCCTTGCCACTAATGCTAGATAAAATAATAGTGTTGCTTTTGACGTGATGTCTCCAAGTCAAATCGCGCGTGCCTTGGCCCGGTGTGGTTACGAACGTTAATAAAATTGTTAAGGTATTTAAAATAGTATTAAAAAATATTAATTATGTTTTATTTATTATTAAAAATAATTAATAATTACATTTAACCTTTGGGTTCAGTGACTTAGGTAACGAGTAAGTGTATTCTTTTATTTTAAGA